GCGGGGCCGCCATGCGGACGCTGCCGCAGGGACCGCCCGCAGTGGGGGCATGGAGGTCAGACGAAACGAGTTACATGCGGATGTAACCCGTTGCGGCTGACAGGCGTGGGAAGAAGCGGGAGAAGACATGCGGGCGCAGCCACTGGGGCCTCAGGTAGAGCTCCCTGGGGGCCACGACACGTGAGAGGCATGTGCCAGAGTGGAGGGGGTGGCGGCACATGTGAACGCAGCCACTGGGGCCCCCAGTGGGGCTCCCTATGGGGCCGCGAAGCGCGTGAGCGATGTGCCCAAAAAAGGGGGGGGGGGGGGGGCGAGCGGCGTGCGCACGCAGCCGCCTCAGGTGGAGTTCCCTATGGGGCCACGACACGCGTGAGAGGTGTGCTGAAGGGAGGAGGGTGGCGGCATGCGAACGCAGCCATGGGGGCCTTCGGTGGAGCTCCCTATGAAACCACGAAGCGTGTGAGGGGTGTGCCAAGCGAGGGGGGGGCGGCATGCGAAAGCCGCTGGGGCCTCAGGTAGAGCTATGGGGCCACGAAACGTGTGAGGGGTGTCCCAAAGTGAGGGGGGTGGCGGCATGCGAACGCAGCCACTGGGGCCTTCGGTGAAGCTCCCTATGAGACCACCAAACACGGGAGAGGTGTGCCAAAGCAAAGGGGGTGGCGGCAAGCGAACGTAACTACTGGGACTTCCGGTAGAGCTCCCTACACGGCCACGACACGCGTGAGCGGTGCGCTGAAGGAAGGGGGGTGGAAGCATGCGAACGCAGCCACTGGGGCCTTCGGTGGAGCTCCCTATGGGGTGAGGGCATGCGAACGTAGTCACTGGGGCTTTCGGTGGAGCTCCCTGTGGGGGCACGAAACGTGTGAGGGGTGTGGCAAAGCAGAGGGGTTGGCGGCATGCGAATGCAGCCACCCGGCCCTTCGGTGGAGCTCCCTATGGTGCCACGAGACATGTGAGTGGTGTGCCACAGGGAGGGGGGTGGCGGCATGCGAACGCAGCCGCTGGGGGCTCAGATGGAGTTCCCGCCGAATTCTGGGGCCACAAAACCTGTGAGGGGTGTGCCAAAGTGGCGGGGGCGGCAGCATGCGAACGTAACCACTGGGGCCTCCAGTGGAACTCCCTATAGGGCCACGAAACGTGTGAGAGGTGCGCCAAAGTGAGGGGGTAACGGGAGGAGGGAGGAGGAGGAGAATTCCAGAAGAGGGGAGGACGCGGGGCACCGTCTCTTCAAAACGAGGGCCAAACACCACAGGATGGTTGGGAACTAATACCTGGGACGGGTGCTCCAGACGCTGGGTGTCTAGGATCCTTTCAAAACGTCGGATATGTTTCAAAGACGTTGGGAACCGCATGATGTGCTAACGCTGGATGTCTGGGTCTGCGCGTCGGGCAACGATGGCGGGGATAGGCTCAGGCGGGGAAACATCGAGTCTGGATCGGCCATGCATCGCCGACACATCGGCGACGGGCTCCCGATAGCGCATCCGCACGTCGGTGGGCCTGGGGGCCTAGCCCCCATCCGCGATCGATAAGCGCTTGGGAGCCGATGCGTTCCCTTTCAAACGTCGCCCCGAGGTCTTCATGCCGCCCAGCCTCGCCGCCGCCGACGGCCGCGCCGCTCGCGGGTGTGCTCGCGACCGCGCCTGCGGCGGCGAACCGCCGCGCGCGCGCGGCCACGGCCGCCGCCGCGGCGCGCCCCGCGGCCGCGCCGCTGGGGCGCGGCAGCGGCGCCAACGCGGCGGCCAGCGGGCGCCGGGCCGAACGGAGCATTGCGGCGGCGCGGCTGGCCAGGCCAGGGGCCAGCGGGAGGGGGCCAGAGAGGCTCGCAGCGGGGCGGCGCGCGGGGCCAGCTGGCGGCGCTCAGACGGGGGGCGACACAGGACGAATAGAGAGTGTGAGCGCTGTTCTTGAGGCGTGCCCATGGTATGCCTGTATGCTTGCGATTGCATGCCTACTATGGGCCCATACTGTTGTCCCACAGCACGCATGCACTGTAGTCGTCACTTAGCTGTCCTATATCAAGTCTCGAATTGCTTTCAGAACGTTGTGTTGCAATGTCCTCCACAATTGCCAAAAAGACACATACGGCATTCCTGAGAAAGCATGAGGAGCACACTGGAATGCTGAGCAACCGCGAGGGATGCTGAAGAACCCTGAAGGGCCGTGGGGGGGCCCGAAGAATCTGGGGGAACCCCGCGGAACCCCAAATAACAAATCCTGGGGGGATGCTGAAGAACCTAGAAGAACCGTGCAGAATGGAACCCTGGGGAAGCCTGAAGAAGCTAGAGGAGTCCTGACAAAGACTCCTCTGGCTCTGGATTCCTAAGGCACCCAGAGAAAAACTTAGGGACACCGATTGGCTTCTCGAGGTTAATTTGGAAAACACGCCAATGTACAGAACACCGCGTTGGATCTACACGGCTAAACACATCAACGAAGGTGACGCATGGAACCCACCGATTCTCACAAGGGCGCTACTAGGCCGCAACAGCCCAAACAG